GTCGGGCACTCAGCGGCAAGGCGGGGGGCTAAGGAAGCCCTTGAAATCAATAGCCAGCCGCTACTGCCGCCGCCACCCTGATCAGGCTGCTCTGCGCTGTATCCATTGCTCCACCACCGCCACCACCACCGCCACCACCGCCACCACCGTCATCGTCGCCGCCACCATCACCGCCGCCGCCGCTGTCGTTTCCTCCTCCTCTTCCCTCTTCCCGTATCCCGATTTATCCGCACGGCGTGACCGAGGAAGTCTCGTCTCGCGCCGTGCCCGACTTTAGTTCACAGCCGAACGTCTCTCGGTACCGAGCGTCATCGGTCACCGAGTGACCCGATCACGGAAGGCGGTAGGGGTGTCCACAGGGCTATCGTGGAAACGCGTCGCGACGCATTCCGATGGAATTCCGATGACCACCAATTCTCTTCGTTATTGTTATTAGGGAGCCTGTCTGGCCGAATCGATTTGTTCCAGGGATTGCCAATAAAAGAAGAAGATTAGGGAGTTTATCTTCGAGGCATTAAAGGCTTGTGTCCTTCGATTTGTACGGTGAACGCTTCAATTACGAATGCGAGCGATGTAGTCACGAAAGTCCTTTACGTATAGAATTACTTAAAGGGTTGCTTTTGCGGAAATATTGCTATGCGATTAAAATTGAGACACTTTTCCATGATGCTAGCCAAATATTAGTGAAGCTAATTGATTGAAAAGGTTTCTCCTGGCTCTTGCTGTACGAAACTCGACATTAACATTTGCCGTATCCAAGAAATGTTACAGAAAAGAAATATTTTTGCTGAAGTATCTATTATAAAAATATCTAAAAATTTTTAGCTAGTATAGTATATTTTCAGATCTGTATTAAGCCTAGCTAAATTTTTAGATACTTCCAGCAAACTCTTTCCTTCTGTGAGCAAAAAATCTCTAATCCATCTTCTTGTATATGCATTTACTATTAAATTTATTATGTCAAATTATATCCAATTTGAATTATTTTGAATTATTTCTATAGATCTGCTCCTATCTATAATATGTCATCAATTTAATTAAAACAATGAAATTAAACAGTTTAATTGAAGAAAAATATTAAATTTGACTCAGATCATTTAGTTCATTATTTACTAAGTGCATACGTTAATATAGATATTGTTTACTTTAAAAATAATTGCAGAAATAGATTTATATTTTGACATGAAAGTTAAAAGTAACAAAACGTTATTTAACTCAAGAAATTGAATTGCCATTAGTCCTTTGATAACTAAGAGGGTGGTATAAAAACCCCACATTCAGCACTAAATCACGAGTTGCCATGGCGATCTTTATCTAAACCTTCGCTTTGTCCTTTCCTTCTATGTTATTGGCCAGCTATATTTAGTAACGTGACGTATCTCGGAGCATGCTATTGTCAAAAATCTTTGATGGAACGCGGGCAGCAGCTACGGTTTATCGATATAAGGAAGATGAGAACAAAGTTTTTCGTATGAAGCGAAACAGATTTGATCTTAAACCGATGATAATCTTAAACCGTAAATACCGTACAAGAAACGGGCATGAAAAAAGTCAAACTCACCCCCCGCGTCTCTCTCCAGCATTTATAGGTCTTATACTTTGACGTTCTTACCGCAATGGGTGGACGCGACCTTCCGATATGACCGAAAATATAGACGCGTAGGGAGACGTATGTGGATTGCGGTCTGGTTATGAGTTGACCTACTCTACTTTGGTTCTACCTACGCGCTCCCTTTCCAGGGATGCTACCCCTTTTGGAAACTGTCTGGCGTCACGAGGATGCTTGCTCGAAGTGCTCACGATCTCCCGACGTTTTATCTTATATTATTTACAAAACGTTTTTTCTATGTTCACTCCAATTCGTTTAATCCCCACCCGAAAAAATTATTAAAACTATTAATGATATTAAAACTTTAATATCCAATTAAAATTTGATATATATCCAGGAATCTCAATATTTCTGGTCTGATTAATCTAATATCTGATCTGATTTTAATCAAGTATTTGAAAAACTCAAAAACTATGGGCAGTATTTATAATCTGTTTCTATTTTAAGATGCTAATGCAGCTCTCTAATTAGCTTATGAGATTATTAGATTATCATAAAACTGTACTTAATATTCTCAAATATAAGAATCTCTCAACTATAACTACCAGCTTATGTAACAAACTCAAACATGATTAGGTGACATGCTGTAAAAAATTTAGCGATCAACTTGAGAATCTTATATAAATGGTTGTATTCAGCAGAGAAAGCAGCTTTGCAACTGTTATAAAATTTTGCAATATGACTGGTTTATACATTTAGACCCAAGGAATCAAAACCAGGAACCAATCATATTGAAGAATGTTACAATAGTTGCAAAGTTACTTTCTCTACTGAACGCAGCCATTGTGTTTTGATAATTCAACAAATCTACAGCTAGCTAAATTTTTTATAAGCTTCAGCAAAGCCTTCTTCTTTTCTTATTTAAAATAAGTATTAGGTGTTGGAATTAATTCGTAGCGTTTTTAATGAAAGAATGTTATTTATTTCACATGAGCATTAAAAAATACATTAATGAAAGTACTTCCCATCACTTGTAAAACGCTACGAATTAATTCCAACACCTAATAATTTTCAGTATATTAAATTGAATTTCTGTAAGACTGGATTATTTCTTATATTTGAATTCTTGATAAATGAAAACATGTGAAATAAAATATTAACGACGATAATAATTTATGAATTTAGATTTAAGTTTCAGATAAGCCTTGGAGATTCACCAATTCCGACACGAAATCGACGGGATTACACAAAAGTGTATAATTACTTGCTGTGGTATCGAATACATCAGAAGTCTTGCATGGTACATTCTTTAATAGAATACTTTTATTCAAACACGAGTGTTAACGAAATCGCTGTTAATAGATTAATCGCACGTGACGACGTGGTCACGCATGAAGCAAAACCGCAAAAACTCGGTAATGATATATATAATTATACGTATAACAATCGTATATAGATCATATACAACAAATTCTTGGTATATCTGTAATAAAATCTCACTAACGTAGTAGTATCTAAGGGATGTTTATGCGTTGTGTATACTAATTGCATCGCTTTCTTTTTTCTTTTCTACGGAATAATGGAGAGTATCATCTGGTGCAGTTAAAACGCACGAGATAAGAAACGTGCATTTGCCCTCTCTTAGTCACGATATATATATATATGTATATACATATGTTGTTTTACAAAGACGCGACATAGATTAGGTTCGAATTAACAAACTTCATAATTAATACACGTGATATACATGTAAAATATATACGTAAGGAGAAATAGAGCTCTCGATTTTACACGATTCAAGATCTAAAATCGTTCTCTCTGTAAGAGTCGCTGAGTTCTCCTCCGCCGAAATCAAACGTTTACAGGAATGTCTCGGAAAAATAACGCTGTATTGAAGAGAAGTCCGAATAAACCGCCTCCGAATCAGAAACTCGTACAGCGATGAAAATTTCACACTGATATGTAAAATACACGCGTCGTCGAGCGCGACGAAAAACGCATTTATTCAGTATACGTGTCTATAATTTAACGGCGGCATAAAGAACGTATTCTTTATATCCTTTATGTCATATATTATAGAGCCGCGAGACACATGAAAAATTCATAGTTTGCTAAAAAGATTTGCGAGGACCAAGTGGGGTGATGTAAAAAAACTCGGAGCGACGGAGGAAGCCAGTAAAGTTGAAATCGTGTTTATGCTACATTGCCTTCTAATTCTAAGGCAGTTATATAAATATCTCTATGTCTGTGTGAGATAAGTATTACGTGTGCTCAACAACAGTTTAACTTTAATATGACAACCTGCGGTCAGCTCGTTGAAACTTGAATTGAGCGACTCGCGTTCGCTTCGGACTCCTCGACAAATAATATGTCCATAATTATCGCGTATCAACGCTCATCTGGACGACGATCGAGCAGAGGTGCATAATTCAAAACCCTTCAGCGTTTGTGATATCCGAGACATATCTTTATTCGTTATTTTCGTAAGACAAACATAAAGAAATAAAAAGTACACTGAAGCGTCAAGTAAATTCAATGCATTTTATAACGTTCCTTTCTCTCTTTCTCTCTCTCTCTCTCTCTCTCTCTCTCTCTCGCTCGCTCGCTCTCTCCCTTTCTCTCTTTTTATCTTTCTCATTTAAAATATCAACGCTGGCGGAATACAACTACCAGCACAACCAATTATTGGGTCATAAACCACTACTCTTCATCAGCCAGCCCCGCCTCTATCCTCCTCTTTCCCCCTCCGACCCCCCTCCCCCGACTATGTGTATTATATATATTTTCAAATGGACACAATATGTACAACGAGGAACGAGAACGGTGCCCGGCGCGGAGGCATGCACCGAAGCAGTGCAAATCGAGTGAACTTGGATAACAACCGTTCTCACGCAGCGTATACCAGCAACTGGACTATTTCTACAACATGATTTTTTTGTGACGTAAAAGTTATATTACGTAGAGAAAGATGCTACATGACAGTAATAGCATCTTCACTCGTTCGTGTGTGATGTTTTGCACCAACACGGTTCGGCCTATTGCGAATAAGTGGTGTACAAATTTGAGAAAGAGTGCAATAACAATCAGTAATTGTGGTAACTTATATTCCCAATAGCGAATAAGATTTCAGAGGCGTTGAGCAATGCGACTGACGAATATTTTGAATATGTATTTATAAATACGAAATCATGATTCGTTATTCGCGAGTACATTTTGCTCAACGCTATTTTAAGGAGCAAGTTACAGAGCGAAAATCCCTTTACAAGCATAAAAGAATGTAACCACATTATGTGATAAACATAAACTGAGCATTACTTAGCGTCTTCTAATCATGGTTTTAAAAAGAAGACGAAAAAAATAAATAAAATATAGAATAAATTTTAAACCAAGCATCTTATCAGATTAAGCGCACATCCGTAACGAGCAATTCTATTAATGTAGACCACTACCGTCCGTGTTTATAGCATTTATTATGAACATTCGAGTAACGCAACGTTTGGAGTCTGTGCCTGCGATCGAACGATGGTATATGACGGCAGAAGACAGGCTAAAAAAACTTGGGGGCGGTGGGGATACACTGAGGTATACAATAAGATAAAGGCTGTTCAGATTAGTTTTCCCAGCAAGTAGCCGACTATAACCATGGCGAAGGCGATGAGGATACTAGTTGATGTCGGAGATAACTGGCTATTGCTCTGCGAGGTTAGTCCTCTGGCTGCTGCAAGATTACCATCATTGCCCAGCGCCGCGTTTCGCCACTTCATTAAATCTTCCTGCAGACAAAACAGACCATATATTATATTGACAGATTTCTCGCGATTTTTTAATTTGCAACATTTTTTAAATTAAAATTTATATTAACAATTTATTATAGTCATTCCCAGAATATGTAGAAACTGCAGGATTGTCAATGTAATATAATTAATATTTAATATTTGGGTAATTTAATAAAAAATGTGTTAAGATAAATATTCAGCTAATACAAATTCAAAACGCAAGTTTGATTTATACAAATCGATGAAACTATTGTAAAAAATATAGGTCTAGGTAATAATTGATTTTTCGTAAATACTTGCCCTAAGTTGAAGATTTTCCTGCCTAAGCGTGCTTTCCTCTACCCTAAGCTGATTAACCTCTTGCGCAGCTTTTATAAGTTTCTCTTCTGCTTCACCAAGAAGCTGACGAGAGAATCATTGTTTAAAGCCGCCACAACAAATGATTATTGTTGTCGATACAATACACTTAATATCTTACCTTAGGCGACGATTTGACCGAATCGCCAACTGTTTTGTTCTTTCCATTAGTCGCATTAGAATCCGCCTTAGTTGTTGTGGAAGTTGCAGTCATTTTAACCGTGCTACTAGTGGTGTTAATTACGGGATTTTCAAAAACGCATTTCAATTTAGAGTCCATTAACTGATCTGGATTTATATCCTTCCACTAAAAAAAAAAAAAACGATGTACATAATTATTAGAAATCATTATTTAATTTTAAAATAAAAGAGAATTATTAAAATAGTAAGAAATATGTTTACTTTGTTTAGTAACATTTACTTCATACATTATTAGTTTCAATATACAGCATTATACTCTTGTTACACTATCAATCTCACTATCTCAATATTAATATTAATTAATATTATTATATTAATTATCAATATTTAATATAGAGTTATACTCTCTTACCACATCAATTGGATATTCATCATCATCATCATCTGGTGCTACCACAGTTTGCACCATAAATTTGTGTTTATTTTTCTCCGATGGATCAAAATCATATGGTTGTAAGCATACTGTAATAAAACATGATATTCAAGCATAAAAGAACCTTTTCTAAATTTAAATAATATTATTTAAGAAATATATACAAAAATTATGGAACTTTAAGTATACAAAATAAAATTTATAATTTTAATTTCGATGCTGTAGACTAACCTGCTATTTCAGTAACATCCTTTGGCTTGAGAGCACCAGAATTTGGACGTACACAGTATCTCTTTGGGGCAGTAGTCTTTATTTTAAAATATATCTTTTTATTCGTTGGATTAATTAATTTTATATATGATGTGACTGGGCCTCCTGTAAAAGGACCTGCAACAAGATAAATAATAAAATAAATTTACATTCATTTACAATGATAATATCATTGATAAGCTAAATTTGTATTGCAAATTTCTATTTCGAACAGGTATTTATTTTTTGTTATAATTAATAAAGTAGAGATCGCAAAGAAGTAAAAAAAGAAAATTGCTTTTGAAGAAATAGGTACAAAGTACAAAGGTTAATTACATTCAGCAAAAAAGGCAATTCTGTTGTTATATAATAATGATAAAAATTTGTAGTTGAAGATGCGCAAGCCAGAAAGTTCTAATCATATCAATCAGAATTCTGATTATCCTAGCTATAATTGATTTTAGAATTATAATTGATTTAACCATAAAATTCTGCTTTATCCATTTTTAATCAAATTTCTAAATAATGCAACCAGATTTTTTCACTGTAAAATTTTTTAATGTAATTGAATAATATATTTAAATAAATATAATTAAAAATTATTATAATTCAGGTGATTGAGAGCATAAAAGTGAGGCAGTTATTCGAGCGTTATACATAGATTTCTTGTATATATTTCTTAGACTTTACATGTGTTTATACAAAATCGAACGTTTCGGCTCTGTTCGAGTCATCATCAGTGATGTTCAAATATTAATTTTAACATTTGCGCTTGCAATCGTGTTCAATTCCAAGAATGCAGCATAGAGAGCCTAATATATGTAAATCCAGAAAGAACTAATGGCAGAACTGAATACATTAAAAAAATCTAATAACACAATAGCAAAATTATTTTTTCCCTAAACGTCACTAAACGTCAATATAAATATTAACACTTAATGAATATATAATTATTTAACCCAGTTCTACTTTTTTTATGAACTACCAATATATATCCAGTCAGTCACTACATTAATAAAATTTTTCTCATATGTTATTACGATAAGAAGAGAATAAACGATAAAGAAAACTACTAGATTTACGTTTCTCCAAAGCATTAGATCGAATCAAGATCCATCTTCATTAGTTGCAAGTCATTCAGTCATTAGTCATCGTTTTCATTAGATAACGTTCAAATTCCTTTTGTAAAAGTGACGTAAAGCAAAAGAATTGTAAATTAATCACTATCGCGTGGACTATATAAAAGTTAGCTGTTATTAATTATAACTATATATAATATACTAATTATATATTTCAAATAAATTATCCATGAATTATTATCCAGACATACAAAAAAAATATAAATACAAATATAAATAAACTTCTTACATATAGGTATATCGCTATTTGCTATAACAAAATTAAAAAACAAGTTTTCCAGAAAATAAATTTGAATATTTTAAATCATTAAAATCTTGTAATATTAATTTCAAAATGCAATTTTGATGCAATAATTGATTATAGAAGAATAAAAATGTATAATTTTAAAGTGAATAGTTTTTTCCATTTTTTCTTTCTTATATTACCGTTTTTTTATAAACAATTAAAACGATGACAATTTTTTAATTATATCATTGTGTAGTAAATGAGCGATATATAGGGTGATCATCATTTTAATTTTAACAGGCAAAAATATACAATTTTAGTAAAGTTAAAAATATGCAAAGTTGTATTTGGAATGATTTTTATTTTTATTTGGAACTTTTATTTGGAACATTCTTTGATAAAATTGTATATTTCGAAATATTTGTCTGTTAAGATCAAAATGAATCATTCTGTGTAGAAAAAGAAACATGTGTGTGTGTGTGTGTGTGTGTGTACACACATATATATATATATGACAGAAAGGAGTAGATGGAATAATCAAAATAATGAATCATATTTGGTATAGAAAAAAAAACATAATAAATATATGGCAGAGAGGAGTGTACAGGAATAATCAGCTGACGGATTGCGGGATTGTTTTCGAGTGCATCTCGCTTCCGATAACGAGATCATCGTTCTCGTCGAAACGGTGATATACACCGTGAACATCTCGAGTGGTTGTCTCAGCGAATACAATACGTACGACACGCACATGACACACCGATCATAGTCGAAGTGTATACGTCACTCGATTTAAACATAATTAATGAGCTTCATTTTCGTAGCCATCGTTCAGCGAAGCGCCGAACGAAAACAACAACGTAAACAACCGCAGCCGCTTGGCGATATTGCGTCTGAGGTGTTAAATGGAGCCCCACACTGCGTGGGCGTGAGTTACAAATGAACAATCTACATACATGAACTACATACATATATATATATATATTCCGTGTTACGTTCCGTAATTCTCTAAAATATTCCTCTAAAATTCGGAAAAGAACCTCGCGTGCGCGCGTAGATGGACGAAACGTAAGGGAGAGAACCCGAGTTCAACGTTCTCGCAAGGAAATCCGAGCGGACCTTCGATTCGGGAAGAGAGAGAGAGAGAGGGGGGGGGAGAGAGAACAAGATGAAAATGATAAAAATTCGAACGGCATTATTCGGAAACTAGGCGATTCTACCGCCGGCCTCCTGTCGTGAGGCATCGCGAGGCATAAATAAACGAGGCTCTTATAGATTACTGGCGTATAGCGGCTAACATAAGTGGAGCAGCGGATATAAATTCAATAAATGGCTTTTCCTCGTATCGGCGATTAGCGATCGGGCATTGAGAGTACAACGGCGAAGAGCCGATCGATGGGCGGCCGCACATCGCGTTTCGTTGCGAAAGACCGGGAAATCGACCGATCTCGCCGTCCCTTTTCCATTTCTCACCAACAACGGGGAGAAAAAAAAAAGCAGCTACGGAAACACGGAAGCGGCCAAAGAGGGCGCGAGAGCCATCGAAACTATTCGAGACCCGTCACCTGCCCGTTCGTTTCGTTTCCTCGTCTCGGGGGGAGGGAAAATCGCCCCCGTCAGGATGCGAGAGAATCGAGACGGACGGACGGATCAGGATCGTCATCGTCGCGGCACCGCGACGGCGAGTCACAATGGATGACAGTGGATTGACACACGGACGGGGGACAGATGGGGTTAGGTACGGACTTGGCGATATCGCACGCTCGCCGAGGCACGGCCGCGACCTCGGTGCGCCTCGCTACATCGGTTACATCGGTTACATCGGTTACATGCGACACGACGCGACACAATCGTCGAGCGAGCTAAGCGTGTCGTCTAAGAGGAGACGAAGAACGTGAGCGGCCGCGCGGGCGGCCGAAATGGCCTTACGTCATCTTGACGACGTAGCTCCGACGTGCCGAGCTTCTCATCGCGAATATCCGTGAATGTCGCGAGCGACGCATTTCGTTGTACTCGCTCACGACGTTCACGTTTATAAGTTGGCGACAAGGAACACGGCAAGGAAGGAATATAAAAAAACTAATGAGAGAAAGAGAAACACAAACACGATGTGCGGGTGAAGAATGAGCGGATCTTTTGATCTGAAATTTTTGGTTTCACAGCGTACCCCTGAATCGGAGCTCGTTCTGCGGCTCGATAAGTAAAACCTGCTCGGGCTTGTCGGACCTCGACGACATCCTGACTGGAGGACCAAGACGAACTTCCCGACGGACGAGTCACGGCTTTGTTGCTGTCTTCCACCACCTCCTCCTCCTCCGCCGCCACCACCTCCGTCTCTTCGTCTTCTTCTTCTCCTCCTCCTCCGCTCCTCCTCCGCCGCCGCCGCCGCCGTCTGCTGAAGCGCCAACGGGTGGTCGACGACGCGTTGGGCCCCGCGTATTGACAAGTTGCCTGGTGCTCTACCTCGTCGCGATTCTTCCGCGTCAGCCGTCTACAACGTCGCGTTTCGGTGTTGTCCCGTTTCCCGTGGCCGTGTCTTTACCGAGATTCCGTTGGACTGATTCCGATTCGCGGCTGGTCAACGATGCGCATGCGCCCACGGCGGGGAAACTGTGAACTGTGACTGCGTGAACTGCGTCTGCGAAGTGCGAGCCGTGTAGAGGCCGCGTTACGTCACGCACGTCGCCGCCGCCACCGCCACGCCACGACCAGTAAACCGGTCCGTTCATTTTTCTTTCGGCCCCCTCTCCCCCCTGCTCCTCTTGCTGGCTGCACCTGCACTGTACTTCCTGCACTTGTTTCAACTCTAATTAATAGAAAGAACAGAACTTTTTCTTTTAAGTCTTAAATTTATATATTTTTTTAGAACTTGTAAATTTCAGAATTTTTTCCAAAATTTCGATAATATATTAATGCGAATTTTTTCCCTCAGGAAAATGAGACGAATATATTTAATTAGAGACATTCGAAGAAAAAAAAGTATTTTTCTATTTATCTATATTTATCTTTTTTACGATCTCTTTTTCTCTCCAAAAGTCATGAATTATCGCGTCTCTGACTATTCCGATTTCTTTCGACTTTTACTGACTTACTTGTAATTCTTTATTAATGCCCTGCATTTATTTATTTCGTCCGAGCTTATCGTTCTTTTTTTTTTTACGTCCCGCTATCTTTCGGGTTAATTTTCCCATCGTCCTCTTCTTGCTCTGTCTCGCTTCGACCTTTTACCCGTTCTAGTTCCTTTTAGGCAGGACTTTTGCACCATTCATCTCTTTTCTTATTTTCTTTTTACGTTAAAAGGAAAAAGAGAAAGATGAACAGTGTAAAAAATTCGGCTGAAAAAACCAGACCATTGTACTCCAACGAGCACGCGCAGATCTGTGCAAACCCAGACTGTTGCGCGCGTTTTGTATGTGGACGCATGTTTAACCTTAACGACAATTCTTGGAGAATTGTTCAGTTTTGTCATGAAAATTTGGGCAAAATCATTTGAAAAGCAAAAGAATTGATATCTAGGCGTCGTGAAATTTCAAGGAGAGATTCAAGAAGTATAAATCCCACCAATCAGTGAGAATTGCTCCGAAAAAGAATCTCAGAGAATCGATGCTCCGACACGGTAGAGGAAAAGAAATTTCTCTATAGGGATTGTGAATTGTCACAAAATTTGATCCTTTTGTCTCATAGTTAGTTCTTATAGTTCAATAGACAGTCCGGTTCGCGATGAACACGTACAGTGCTTCGATCTCGAACGGGGATCTTTTCAGAAACTTGGCATTTCTAGAAAACCGATCGTCTGTCGACACCAAGCATCTACAGCTTTTTTCAATTTATGATGGTAAAGAATGTGTCCGGAGTGTCTAGTTATGTAGTTATAGAGTTTATACAGTTATAAAGTTGTGGGATTTAATTATATAGTTATAATTATGGAGTTAATTATACATTTATAATTATGGAATTTAATTATACTGTTATAAAGTTATGGAGTTTGATTATATAGTTATAAAGTTATGGAATTAATTATATAGATATAAAATTATAGAATTTAATTATACAATTATACAATTATTATCTATATTATGAAAAAGTTATGAAATTATACAATTAAAAAACCCACGAACGCTAACATTACATCAATTACGTCATAATTTCGTACTCAATAATATAACTGTTATATCACATGTATTATATCGCAACTTATTTATATAGTTATATTATAATATATATAGTATATTACAGTTATGTTATTAAATGGTAAATTTTATTTTAAATAGTACAACTCCTTTACAGTTAACAATTATAGCTGAAGTTTTCTGTTGTAGAAAACAATGCTATTCTCGGAGGCACTAACATGGTCGATCTTTACTGGAATGGTACTCTCTGGTACTACAAGGATATCTCGGACTTTTCTCGAAAGGAAGCCGCTATAAAACAACGGATGGACAGTGGCGTTTGTGATTCCGCTTACCTGAACGAGAATACATTTGTCATTGTGGAAGACAGTGGTGCTGTGCGGGTTTATCAAGCAGTTGAAATAGACGAGCGTTATGAGTTACAGCTTCTCGGATACGTATGTCAGCATGACGACAGCATCCTATCGGTGTCTGCATTTTCCAATCAGAGAAACATTGTCACAGGAGGAATGGATTGTTGGTAAAAAGTTTCTAAAATATATATGATATTACGAGCTAAGGAAGAGATTATTAGAGAAAGATATTAATCCTATGGAGCTGACACTAAAAAAACTGAATCTAACTAAAAGCCAAGAATAAAGGAAAAAATAGTAAGATAGGCATTATCTTGATAATATTCTTATTGAAATAAACTCGTATTTATTCTTTTTTATACGAGTTATGTCATTTTGATTTCTTGAAATTAATTATTGCCTTTTAATCAACATCTGTTATTTGGTTACATTCATTTGATTTTTTTAAAAAAAGTTATTTATTTCAAAGGACAATTACAACTTCTAGATGTAACATAAAGAAAATTAAATTGTTTGAATTTTGTATAAAATGGCACATTGCTACAATAATAAATACAAGAATTAAGAATTAATAGTAAATCAAAATATAATAATATATTTTTTATCTTAATAATGCTTCACAGAGGAAACGGAATTATTTTACTGGAATAAGAATAATTTTTATTCAAACAATCAAGATATAGTGGAGCCCACTATATAATGGAGTCTAGTAAGCCCACTGTTAGCTGTAGAAGGATATAATTGAACGAGTTCAATAGACTTATATCAGCTAGAGAGGATTTATAATCTTATGCTTGTTTCAGCTTAAAAATGTGGGACGTAGAGGATTTAATCGCGACATATTCGTATAGCTTTGCACATCTAGACATAATCACTGGTACAGACGTGAAGCCTATGTGCAGTTCTGTATTTGTATCTGTCTCTTTAGATAGCGAATCATTACTATGGGATATTAGACGAGCCAAACCGGCGAGTTGTACGTATTATTTATAGTTTTTTTTTCTAATATCTTAAAATTTATTACGTTTTTTAAAAAAAATTTTCTTTATTTTTCAAAGGTATCTTCAAGAAAAATGATTGTCCCTTAACAGCAGTATCTTGGAATACTACTTTGGAAAATATTATAGCAATAGGTACAGCCGAAGGCAGCATTGCAATAATTGACATTAGGCAAACAGAAACTCCGTTATGCGAATCGAATGAATGTGATAGAGGTGTACACAAACTGTTATTTAATCCAACTCCAGAGAGGTGAGAATTTATCAGAAATATCAATTTACTTGTCTGTACAATATAGCTCTTATACAGAATATTTCTTATACAATATATTCTTTCGATAATAAATTTATGATAACTTATCTATTTTCCAGGAAAGAACAGTTAGCGTGCTGTTTTGATAACACATCAATAAAAGTACTTGATACTCAAAAAGAATTGATGCAAATATACGAAGATAATAGTCATCACGATTTTGTACGAGGGCTCGCATGGTGTAAAGACGATTTATATTCGTGTTCTTGGGACGCAAATGTGTTCAAACATATAGTAAATGAATATATAGCTTCCCAAGGACGAATTCAAGTTAGACAATAGTAATTATGATTTTGTACGAAAATTTGTATGGTATAAAGATGATTTATATGCATGTTTTTCGGACATAAATAAACAAATTGATTGAATGTGTAGCTTTCTAAGGATGATAAATCAATTTTTTGAACTTATATTAAAATTTTGTGATATTAAAATGATCTTTTTACTTTATAAAATATTTGATTTATTGATCGAAACAACATCTCAATATAATGAACATTTTCCTCACCTCAAAAACTTGCAAACTATTCATTACATATCAACGACGGAATACTGATCGCAACTCAAAGAGAACTGAATGGTGTTAATTGAAGGTAAAGATTCACAAGAAATGTGCATTCAATGTTCAGTACATATTTTTATGAGCGGCGAGACAAGGTGTGAATTTTAGTGAATTTCATACATTCGAAAACATTCCTCTTGCATTTATTCGAACTTCTTGATGATTGTGTGTCAGACACTTCTACAACATAGTTATGATACTCTTTGTGTTTATTCGATATATTCTATTTTATTGCAGAAAAGAGAAAAATATTCGACAATTATAAAATATTATCGCTACGTATAACAGTAATGTAAAGGAATCAAGTGTATCAGTGTAATAGAATTTGCTGTATACCTTGTGGATCTTTAAAAGAATCGTACTACTCTTAATGTAATTTAAACAAGTCTTTCTTTTCCTTTCTGATCCTACAGTGTGTACGGTATATCAAATATCCAGTAAGATTTTATTTACAAAGTAGTCAATGATAACGTGATAACATAAACAAAATATCACAAATAAAAGTTTATCATCACAAAATGTCTAAAAAAAAATTAGAAAATCAGTTCCAATGTTAGTTAAAGATGATATAAATTAAAGATACGCTATATAATGTAGTATATATACATATATAGTAATTCTGATAAAATAAACATGCAAGTTTATTCTGTGATGCATAGAATCTACATACGTATATTCTTTATATCGCAGAATATTGCGAGTTACTTCTCCCCGAACATACAGTAGATAACATTTCATTTGTTTATCGTAAATATATTTTGAATATTTAAAATTTTATATTTGTTGTACTGCAATTTGTAGGACTGATTTGTAGAACAACTGTGCATAAATAATTTCTTGTAAGTACATTAATATATCAAACCTGTTTATGTATATAACGTATATGAATAACGTGAATTTATCCGGAAAGAGATGACAAGAAAAACATGATTTTATAGTATCTTCCTTCACATTATTATTATT